TTCATCGACATCTTCCTGACTACTATGATCATTCTCTCTTTCTGCAGGATCCAACCTTTTCTTGAGAGGCACTTGTGAGCCAGAAGGTTTTCTATTTGAATAACCGCGATCATCATCTGAGTCATCATTTTTGAAGTCACTTCCATCGTCAGGATGTGAACTTTTTCGTCGTCTTCTAGATGGCGGAGAAGAATGGCGGTTCCTCACAGTCGTAGTTGTCCTTCCAGCTGCCTCCAGGAGCAATTTCTCTAAGTCTGCCATTGTCCCTTGCGCCAATCCTAGCTAGAGCTACATTAAACTTGAAAAGTTAATTAACTAGTTCAGAAAAATCAAACCAGATATCATTGTGTACAATAAATAACTCAATACACAAAAATAATGATTTCTTAAAGGAAAGCAATTCAACGAAAACATGTTGTCGACACTAGACAACAAACCATTCACAGTTCCCAAAAAATTTGGTGTTAGCTACATGAATTCGTTCAACTTGCTATAAATGCTGTTTCCTAAAAATCCAACAACTTGAGTCCCAATACCATTTCTCAAAAGCTTTCAGCCACTACGATGTACAAAGAATGATACTCTTCAGATCCCTTCTTTTTTCAGTAACTATTAATCTCCAAGGAAAGTGATGATCACTTCTTGGCGGCTTATTGGTTAGGTATGATTCACTTGCCATTTCAATCTAGGATATAAACATTTCATTTGTCACTCATTCTAAGCTGATCCACACAATTACTGTCACTATAATAAATTAAAATTTCAGTGTACACTTCCACATCATAGTAAAATTACACTGTTTCATTCTTGAACTATCAGTTTTATCACGCTCTTCCACAATAATAAATATAATGAGATAAAACCAAGCCACTCTCGTTATTGCTAAAGAACTATAATAGCAGGTCCATGGAAACAAAAAAAAGGGACTCAAATGAGACATACAGATACTAGTTCGTATGCAACCGGTGATAATCCAAATATTCCAAATATTGAAGGCCAACCAAATCCATGAATATCAAAATACATTTATAACCCTATAATATAGAACAAGTAACACCCGAGAAAGCAAAAAAAAAAAAAAACAAATTCTAAATCCTAAACCTTAAAATTGGGTCAAAGGTATTATCGA